AAAAAAAGAATGTCAATGTTTATCAAAGTAAACGAATTTAAAAGCTTTTCAACTAAACTAAGGTCTTATTCATCAAACTAATCTAATTCAAAAGCTTTTCTAACTAAACCCAAGAGTTCTCCTGGAGAGTACATCCTGACATCAACAAATTTCAAAAATAATAACAATAAAAATTATGGTGCTTAAATTAATCTTACAATAACGTGGATGCTAATAGTTTTTTAAGTCTGAAATAATTTGTTTGTACTACAAGGGTATTAAAAAACTTCATCATCTTCAAAACTTCTCGTCTTTCCTTCATTAATGACCTTGGACAAGACCGTATCAGCATCAATTTGTGTAAACAAAATTTGATGCCCTTTTGCAGAAGGGAACAGAGCAAGGTTAGGGGTATGCTCTAGACAAAATAATCGGTTGTTCTCCTTCGAGCTCAGATATCACGATTAGTGAATCCGTTATTTCAAGGGAGAGGGGTTCTGACTTCGGAACTGGATTAATAACCTGCGAGCAATGCAAACTAAATTTGTTAAGCAAATGTCGAGACAATTCTGGACATGGAATTAAAATCCAAAATATCGACTACCTTTTTGTTGTTTTTCACGTAGCCTATGGCAACTTCTCGTCGTAGATGCGCTCTTTCGGCAAGCTCGGAGAATGATGGATTCTCTCCTTTTTTCATGTAGAGGCTAATATCCTGTCATAAGTAAAGTAGGCAAACTTTGTGGTTGGTGAACTTAAATGGTGATGCTTTGCCCGTTTGGTTCACTGATTTGAACTCGTGATTTTGATTCTGCTCTCTCACAAAAAAATTGAATCAAAAAGTTTCCTGTCAATGGGTTCTCTCACAAAATTTGAAATCAGAATCAAAATCACTGATTTGAACCCATGAACCAAACGAACCAAATACGCGTTACATGGAGAATGTAGGAAAACTAGAGAACCGGCGGTTACCTTGACATATATTTCATCACCTTCTGCATTTAGAATGTCTTTCCACACTTCATTCAGTTCACTGTTTTCAGCAACTGTATGTACAAACAGGGAACTGTCCATTACGCACATATTCAAAAGACAAAAATGAAATGAAAAACTATTTAAATGTTCAACCACAGGTAAAAGTATACTGAATCAAGACCTTGAGCTGTTACAAGGCTCATTACTTCTTCTGCTGCGATGTAAGTAAGGGACGGCTTAATTCTTGTAATCTGTACCCATTTTTATGGCAGTGATAAGTTTACCAATATCGCAAAATACCCGCATAAAATCGCAAACATTTCAAATAGAAAATCAGACATGCAAAAGGAAGTAGTACTTGTTTTCCCAGTTTCGAGTTCACAATCTCCGCAACTAGATTTTGCACCTGAAAGACAAATCCTTTGTTACCTAACTTTCTTCTCTCCACGGGAAACAAAAACAAAATTTAATACGAATTTTAATACGAAATCTAAAAGCATTGATTTTTTTTTCTCCCCTAAAAAATCAATTGAAGGATACTTACCTTCACTCCATGTTTATTGCAGATATTTTCCGCAAGAAGAAGAGAATATGCAGCATGTTTGTCTGCCCTGGAAGGATCTGAAGAAAGGTTAGTTAATACGATGCTACTTCAAGCTAAATGAAACATCATAAAAGCAAGTTCGAAGGGCAGATTTGCAGAATATCAAGTAATGCCACCTCCAAGAAGCCATTCTCTATCAGATATGACAACAATGGATAAGGGAATATTTTTGCCCCTCTTCAAAGAATTTTGAGTATTCATTATGGTATCCTGAAGAGTGTCATAGTTCATGGGATTTCCAATCTACAGAGTACACCAACCAAAAAGAAAAAAAATATATTTAGCAGAGCAAGTTGAATTTATAACAATGAAAAACTAAAATGAATATCTATTTGGGAAGGTGTTACCCTATGAGAAACTTGAATATTTTTTAGTTTCCCTTGACCAGAAACTTTGCTAGCTCTATTCCTGTCATCTAAAGTTGCTTCTGATAATATTTCCTGCATTATAAGGGTACACCACACTTTATAAACCAGAGCTAAATGCATTCATAGCATCATTTATTTGTATTAACATCAACTGAAGTTTGCAGTATAAAGGACCATGTTCCACAACAACATAATGCAATTCAAACTAATACAAATCAATCCTTATAAAAAATTATGTCTAATCAAACATACTGCAGCAATAATCGAGAATGCTTAATCTTCCTTTAAAATATCAACTACTTAACAGTTGTCTCAAAGCATAGAGAAGACCCTGCATGACAACTCTTGAAAGAACATAAGTTCATAAATTTTTACCACTACACTGCCAGGTCCAAGATAATTATCGTATTCTTCAATCATTTGCACAACATCCGGGCGCCAACCGAGCAAAAGTATAAATTCTTTTGGTCCTACAGTCCAGTTTGAAGCCTACGTTCACATGAAAAGGAGAGAAGAAAATGAGCCAAATCTTTCCAAGTCGTACTGTGATTTTAGAAGGTACAGCTTCAGAAACATGTACCTTGGAACCTGATCTGGCAGGACGTTTTACTATACTATCAAGTCGGAATTTCCTTAGTTCCAAAGCACGATCTGAATTTTGACCGTCTCTTTCTGTAACTTCCAACTTCTGAGCAGAGTTACTAGTTTCTTCATCAATCTTTGGATAGGCAACCTGTGGTTTCCTACCTCGGTGAACAGGTGCAATGAATAATATCTGCACGAGCAAAGTGAACAGATGAAGCGTATAAAACACTAGTATTAACTCATCTTTAAGCTATTTGGTTCTTAAAGATGGAGTTCAAACTACAAAAAAGATTCAGTCAGACATCAAATTCTGGAAAAAAATAAATAAATAAATATTTTATCTAAAACGAGAATGAGTAAACAGTTCAAATTCTCATAGATCATGAAAGGAAGAACAATAAATAAGTTGAGGTATGCTAAGGAATCAACATACTTTGTCAGTCTGTTGTAAGATCTCATCATCATATGGATGGAAGTATATCTTGCCATCCCGATGGAGCCCACATACAACTACCTGGAAGGATATCCAATCAGATGTTAATTGTATAAGAACTGCATCTAACCACTTTACTAGCAAAACTACACTTTTCAGATGGTCTTACCTCTTGGAAACCACGTCGTAACTGTCCATATCTTATTCCCGCTAGGTTAGGAAAATTGCAGAGATTAAAGACATTTTCTGCAATGAATAGAAACTTTGATTAATCTGTATTCTTGTTTCGGAGATCAAAGTATTGTCATTTTTTCGGACCACTGGATAATATATCCTAGAAATTGATAAAGCATTTTAATGATAGGAGGTGGTAGCCAGTAAAATTATTTCAAATACAAATTTTTCTTTCAAGTGGGGGTCTGCGCAATACTTTGATAGTTGAGTAAGTGTCTGTAGATCTTTATGAGACCCTTTTGACGAGAGCATTGAACAAACAGTTTTGATGCAACATTTTCTACTGGTTCGACTTTTAACCCAGAGATTGACTTTAAGAGATCACATGTATTCGGACTTGAGACCTGCATTTTAAGAGCATAGTTTAAATTATTTCTTTTGGAAAGTAGCACTGTTATATAAAAGAACTACTTAAAGTGGCATACCTCAACAATAGTAGGGACAGATTCCATCTTTGGAATTGGTTGAAGAGCTAGCACAGACAAAAATGCATCTGTATCAACTTCATACCTAAGCAATTAAGGATCTCAAATCATACTTTGACAGAGCAAAATAAAAGAAATTTGCTGATTGCTGTTATTACACATGATGAAAGAGCCACACACATAGTGCACGATGATATCATTCATTTACCATATTAACCACATTTTTCGAAGTCATAGTGCTAACTGTTTTAGATAGAAATTTTTACAAAAAATCCAGGAAGACTACCAAGAGCAAGAGCTGTCTATTAATACACAACATAAACATAAGAAGCAAGCGAAACTCGGAAATAAAGTTAGCATATTTGATTAAGTCCTCTGTTTACATTCATTTCAAGGTCTAGGTAATTGACAGATGAAAAAGATTTCGAAACATATGTTGGACTATGTTAGGATCCTGGTTGAGTCTCACATTGCTAAAGTATGGGCTTAGCATTTATAACCACTTGGGCACCCTCTCCCTACAAGCTAGCTTTTGGGGATGAGTTCTACCCAAGGGTTATAACAATTGGTATCAGAGCATGCTCCTCCTCAGGCCCATGTTGTGGAAGGGGCGACCTGGAAAGGCCAAAGTGGGCCACCATGGACGTCGGTGTCATAAGCGTGGTGGTATGTTAGGATCCTGGTTAAGTCCCACATTGCTAAAGTATGGGCTTAGCAATGTTAGGAACCTAATATTTAGAAGTCTTTTTCAATAGTCTTAAGGGGAGTATAAATAGGGAGTTTAGTTGTTAGGGAGGGGGAGAATCAGATTTGTAGAGAGTGTCTAGTGCTGTGCACTATTTTGGAGATCGGGGGTCCTCGAAACCGCCTATCTATCTTGTAATTTTCCATTTCTAGTATTGTTAATGAAGCTCAGATTTTCGGGTTCCTAACAATGGTATCAAGACATCTACGATCCACGGAGCTCTTTAAGTTGAGAGAGAAACTTAGGGCTGCTCTAAGCGCTAATCACAAGGTTTGTGGAGGGAGTATAGGGGAACTCCGGGACCATGTGGGGAAGATTCGGACCCAGATGGGTGACTTGCAGGCGGCGCTGCGGAGGATGGAGGCACTGCTGGCGGCACGGCCGATGGCCGGGGAGGCCGAATTGGGTCGCTATGGCGAACGACGGGACGGGGAGAGGCCAGATCGTGTCGACCCAGGCGGAGTGAAGGTGCCAAATCGGGCGGATCTTCACCGGGAAGCGCCGATTCGCGAAGATCGAGGCCGCGAGGGGGAGTTCCGACGCCGGAGAGACATGGATCTCATGGAGGAGCGCGAGATCCGTCGCGATCTGGGGCTGGGTGGTCCGGATCTGCAGCGCGAGGGTTTGTTCGACGACGGGAGGAGGCAGAAGGAGGGTCGCGACCGTCAGGAGAGGGCGGCGGAGCTTGGTCGGCAACGGGAAGTGGAGTGGGAGCCGGAGTTAGAGGAGGAGAGGCTTGCTCCGGGGCTGGGACGGGATGGGGACCTTCAGAACAAGGGACACAGCCCTGATTCGGTCGCGGGTGGGGGGGG